GCCAGCCCCCCCCGCTCGGTCTCCGCCACGGCGACGGTGAGGGTGGCGCTGGAGGACAGGGCTGGCTCCCCGTGGTCTGTGACCGAGATGACCAAAGTGTGCTGAGGGGCGTCGCCCTCCCGCAGCTGGCGGGCTGTGCGGATCTCCCCGCTGTGCAGCCCCACGGAGAAGAGGCTGGGGTCGGGGGCCTGAAGGAGGGCGTAGGAGAGCCAGGCGTTGTAGCCCGAGTCCGCATCACAGGCCACCAGCTTGGTGGCCAGGCTGGCTCCCCGTGGTCTGTGACCGAGATGACCAAAGTGTGCTGAGGGGCGTCGCCCTCCCGCAGCTGGCGGGCTGTGCGGATCTCCCCGCTGTGCAGCCCCACGGAGAAGAGGCTGGGGTCGGGGGCCTGAAGGAGGGCGTAGGAGAGCCAGGCGTTGTAGCCCGAGTCCGCATCACAGGCCACCAGCTTGGTGGCCAGGTGCCCGGCGCTGGCCGTCGGCGAGATGCTCTGGAGGCGCGAGGCGTTTGGGGGCGGATAGAGAACGCGCGGCGCGTTGTCGTTCAGGTCGGTGACAAACACCGAGACCGTGAGGTTGGTGGCGAGCGCCGGGACGCCGCCGTCGCGGACCTGCACGGTCATGGCGAACTCCCTGATGTCCTCGTGGTCGAGGGAGAGCAGGGCATACAGGGTGCCGTTCTCCGCGCTGATGGAGAAATGCCTGCTGGCCGCCTGGCCCAGCAGGGAGAAGGAGAGGCGAGCGTTCTGGCTCAGGTCTGCGTCCCAGGCGCTGACGTGGAATATCGGCGTTCCCGGGAGGTTGTTCTCCGCCACGTACACGTCGTAGGAGAGCTGGGGAGATTTGGGCGGGTTGTCGTTGACATCGGCCACGTGCACGAGAATCTGTCTTTCCGCCCAGAGCGGGGGCGACCCCGCGTCCCTGGCTGTGACGGTGACGTTATACTCGGCCACCAGCTCCCGGTCCAAAGCGGCCCTGGTTTGCAGGGTGTAGTAGCTCTTCAGGGACGACGTGAGCGCGAACGGGAGGCCAGTGGGCAGCAGGCAGGTTACCAGGCCGTTAGCCCCAGAATCCAGGTCACTGACGCTTAGCAAAGCTATCGCCGTGCCTGGGGGGGCGTCTTCAGGCACCGGGCTGTACACGGACGTCACTGTGATCTCAGGCGCGTTGTCGTTCTCATCGATGATTTCCACCAGCACTTTGCAATGAGCCGCCCCCGCCCCGGGGCCCTTGTCTTTCGCTTGTATGTAAATCTCATAACACCCCGCTTCCTCGTAATCCAGGGGCGCTGTGACCCTCAGCTCCCCCGTGGCGGGGTGCAGGGCGAAGAGCGCTCTCACGTGGGCAGGGGTGTGACTGCTGACGGAGTAAACGATATCCCCATTGGGCCCCTCATCCAAATCCAGGGCGCTGATTCTGACCAGGAGCGCGCCCGCGCGGGTGTTCTCCCTGACGCTCGCTCTGTAGGTGCTCTGGTTAAAGACCGGGGCGTTGTCATTAGCGTCCAGCACATCCACGTGGATGTGCACGCTGGCAGACCGGGGGGGGCTGCCCCCGTCCAGCGCTGTGAGGACCAGCTGCAGTTCCGGTTGCTCCTCTCTGTCGAGCTCCTTTTCCAGCACCAGCTCCGCATATTTGCTGCCATCCCCGCGCGTCTTCACCTCCAGCACAAAGTGCGGGTTGGCGCTGAGCTGGTAGCTCTGCAGAGAGTTGATCCCCACGTCAGGGTCTTGCGCGCTCTCTAGCGGGAAGCGAGCTCCGGGCGCCACAGACTCGCTGACTTCCAGCCTCATTGCGCCGGAGGGAAAAGCCGGGTCGTTGTCATTGATGTCCTGGATCTCCACGGCAGCACTGTACAGCTCTAGCGGGTTCTCCAGCACCAGCTCCAGGCCCACGGCGCACGGAGAGACCGCTCCACACAGCGCCTCCCGGTCCAGCCGCTCGTTCACAAACAACAGCCCGCTCGTCAGATCCGCCTCAAAGTACTTCTGGCCGCCTCCCGACACCACCCGCAGCCTGCGGCCCGGCAGCCGCGCGAGCTCCAAGCCCAAATCCGCCACCACGTTCCCCACCCGGGAGCCTTTCGGCGTCTCCTCGGGCAGGGCGTAGCGAAGAGCCGCGGACGCCCGGTGCGCAAGGCCCGCGAGAAGCAGCAGGCTGAGTACTTGCCATCCCGCTCCCCAGCGGCTCCTTCCAGCTGCGCCTTTCATCTCCGGGAGTCAGCACCGCGCGCGCCCCTCACAACGCGTCAGCGCGCCCCTTCCTGCAGAGCCCGGGCAGCCACTGGGCTCTGCGCCGGAGACTCAGGCATGGCTCCCCCGGGCGGCGCGGCGCGGCGCTCCCTGCCTCCCTCCCTCCCTCCCTCCCACGCTCCCCGCCGGGCCGCCAGATCCCCGGCTCCTTCATTGGCCAACAGCGGCACGCACTGTCCCAGCCAATAACTGCACGGAGAGCGCCCCGTGCCACGCGTGCGCAGTGCGAGGCGCTTTGTCTGACTTGTTCCAGCGCAGGCACCCAGGAGGAAGCGCATTTACCCAGGCAGGCAGGGACTTGGGAGGCAGGTGGCTGCCTGTGGGAGGGCACCTCTCCTCAGAGCCGGTGCAGGTCCTGTCACAGCCCTGAAAGCCAAGGCAATGCCCCTCCGGCTCCACGTGCTCATCTCCCGGGGACAGCAACGCAAGGTTCAGGGGCAGACCAAAGGGAGAACTAAACAAGTCCCGTACTTCTTAAAGCAGATGGCCTCTCAGAGAACCCAGAGGGCCTGCTGCGAAACACTTTTGCAGCCTGTCCTAGGCCGCGTGCAGCAGGAGACCACCCAAGGGCAGCAGCAAAGGGTGTGTGTCCGGGAATGGGAGAAGCGGTAACCACCAGGTGTGTGGGAGGGGGTGTGACGGCGCGTTTGGGTTTTCCCGTCTTCTGCACCCCCATAATGGCACGGACAGACTCCACCAGCCAGTAGAATAGAGGGAGTTTATTGCTTCTCCAGGGCTGTGTCTAGACTGGCCAGTTTTTTCGGAAAATCAGCCGCTTTTCCTGAAAAACTTGCCAGCTGTGTACACTGGCCGCTTGAATTTCCACAAAAGCACTGACGATCTCATGTAAGATTGTCAGTGTTTTTAGGGAAATACTATGCTGCTCCCTGTGATGGCACGTTGGGGGTTCCCCGTCTCCTGCACCCCGAAATGGCACAAACAGACTGTACCAGCCAGTGGAATTGAGGGTGGTTTATTGCTCCTCCAGCACAGCGCAGCACAGATTTAATCTGGTTACAGGAACTGGGCTAGGAGGCCTCAGGCCCCCTTGAGATGGGGGAGACTGGGCCCCTAAACTCCAGCTCCTCTCCCTAGGCTGTCTCATCCATCCTCACAGACAGCCACCAACCAACTAACCCACTTCCAGCCCTGCCCCCCAGCCAGGGCCGCATTCACCTTCCTTTGTTCCTCTCCATGGGGGGTGTCTGGCCACTGGTTCAACCAGTTTGGCCTTACCTCTGCCTAGTGAGGTTTTCCCTGCTGGGTCTTGCTCCAGACAGCAGAGGTCACCACAGCCCAGCAAGTACCCCCACTACGTCACACTCCCATTAGGGCAAGAGTCCTTTTGCGCAAAACTTTTGCGCAAAACTTTTGCGCAAAAGGGCCAGTGTGGACAGCTGAGATTTGTTTTCCGCAAAAAAGCCCCGATCGTGAAAATGATAATCGGGGCTTTTTTGTGGAAAAGCGCGTCTAGATTGGCACGGACGCTTTTCCACAAAAAGTGCTTTTGTGGAAAAGCGTCCATGCCAATCTAGATGCTCTTTTCCGAAAATGCTTTTAACGGAAAACTTTTCTGTTAAAAGCATTTCTGGAAAATCATGCCAGTCTAGACGTAGCCCAGGATACAGCACAGCACAGATCTAATCTGGTTACAGGCCAGGCCTAGGATGCCTCAGCCCCCCTTGAGATGGGGGAGACTGGACCCCTAAACCCCAGCCCATTGCCTAGGCTGTCTCCTCCATGCTCCCAGACAGAAATCTAACTGACTCACTTCCAGCCCTGCCCCCAGCCAGGGCTGCTCTCCCCTTCTTCCCATTGTTCCACTCCCTGGGAGATAACTGGTCAGACAGGTTTGAAGCCCCCTTGCATAATGACTCATCCCCTGCCCTGCTGGGCTGTGCTGCAGCCAGCAGCCAGTGGAGGTCACTCACAAGCCAAGCCTAGCAACCAGCAAGGTACCCCCCACTACCTCACAGGCGGATGCTGGAGGCCCCAGCCTGGGCGGTCGCTGGTAGGAGAACAGGACAGGGGAAGGCGAGGTGAGAAGGGCAGTGGGATGCCAGGGTGGGTGGGAGGAGGGGCAGAAATCTTGTTCTAGGCCCAGCAGTGAGCACTGGGGAACCAGTGAAAGCCTGAACTCTGGCAAGTAAGTTGCCATTCTGGGCTCATCCCTCTGCCTCAGAGCTCTGTGCCAGTCTGAATGAGAAGCCGAAATGGAGCTCGCTGGGGGTAATCATATCCTAGCGCTCCTGCCTCTGTGGTGCTGTTTGCACCGGTGACTGCACTGGTAGTATTCCCTACCCAGGCAGGACAACCGAGGAGCAGGCTCCCATGATTTCACATGCTTTCAATTCCAGGCCTGAACAGAAAGGAGACGTGAAAGAACAGCTCTATGTTTCCAAACCTTTAAAACGCTTTAGCGCTCATTTGTTCTAACCTGAATGAAGGATCAGGATGTTAGTTTGCCCACATTTGTTCAGCTATTTCCTGTAACAAGTACCTCCAGATCTGTTCTGAACATTAAACCCAGCCAAAAGTGCATGATGCCAGTTGAGAGATTTGGTCACAGATACATTTGTTCTTTTCTCACCACAAAGTAAATGAACTGAAATACTAAAAGAAAAATCTGTGATTCCCCCACCACAAACACACAGAATTAGCGATCCATTTACTCTTTATGTGAAGTTTATGTCAGGAGTGAATATTTACAACTGACATGAAAACCACTGGAAATAAGATTTCTAATGGAAATGATGCACCTTTAACTCTGAGAGGATTAACTGTCTCAGCTATTTTATGGCCCTAAGTACAAATCTTTGCAATAATCTGTCCACTGTCATTCTCTCCTGAAACTGACAGCAACTACTATATTTAAATCTTCATATCTCTCACTACACTCTACCTCTGTCTCTTCTAGGTATACTCACATCCTTTCTTATAGGCCTCTCTGCAGACAGCTGGTTATTATATTTTTTCCTAATGATAAGAGAGAGAGAGAGAAAAAACCATAGTTCATCACAGTCACTCCTCCAAAGTAGACTTGAACTTTGTCACTATTTTTCTGCTCTGGTACAAAAGATTTAGATGGCATTTCAACTAAAATTGGTGTCAGAAAAAGCAAAATATCTTCCTTTTATCTAAACATCTTTAACTATTTTCAAACATATGTATGGCTATTTCTTCACATTTATTTACCAATTAACAATTCTACTTTCCAATGTATATATGGCAATTATGAAAAAGCATCTTTAATCTTAACACACACACACAGAGAACGCTTACTAAGGAGCTTTGTTGCATAGTATGTATAGAAGCAATGAGAAGATGACCAAACACAAAGTATTTCATACAGTTCTAGTTTATACCTTTTCATGAAATGCACAACACAATATAACAAACGTCTGTATTTTGACTGAAGGAGGGAGATGAGCTCTAATTCGTTCCAGGAGCAAACCCCATACTCAACATGATTTATCTCTATTTCTCATTGAACTGTCTAAGCTCCCAAAAGTCTACTACTTGAGACAGCAAGAGGAAGAGTCTAATTGTAAAAATTCCCTTTTGATGAAAAAGCAAGCTGCTCAAACCTTGCTATGTTCCTAATAACCTCACATCATTTGAACATTTCTGCTCACTGTACCATTGTGAATTCTGTATATCTGTAATTCAGAAACTTGGTGGGACACAGAGCGAGGGTATGTTTATACCAGTTTGCCACATACGACTTTATAAGTTTTGTTACCATCTAGGTCGAGTATAGCTTTTTCAGCAATACTATCTTTCTTTTCAATGAATCACAGCACTATGAGGTTAGAACAGGCTATAAGAGTCATCTAGTCTAATCACCTGCTGAGATGCAAGATTTCTTGTGTTTGAACCATCCAACACAGGTGGCTGGCCAGCCTCATTTTAAAAATCTCCAGCGAAGGACCTTCCACAACCTCTCTAGGTAGTTTGTTCCATTGTCTCACTGTTTTTATAATTAGGAAGTTTTCCTTGAGATTTAATCTAAATCTGCTACTCTGGAGTTTGAACTTATTCCCTCATCTGACCCTCTGAGGAAAGAGAGAACAAATTTTCTTCGCGTTCTTATGGCAGCCTTTTAAGTATTTAAAGACCTATCATGTTCCCTTTTAATCTCTTTTCCAAACTAACCCAATTCCATCTCCATTTGCTCCTACACACTCACATTCCATTCCTTTAATGATATTTGTCCTTTTCCTCTGGATCCTTTCCAGTTTCTCTACATCCTTTCTATACATTAGTGAGCAAAACTGGACACTATTGCAGCTAAGGTTTAACCAGCACCGAATAGAGCTGTACCTACCATTACTTGATTGTTATGCTTCCTAATGCAACCCAAAACTGCATTTGCTTTTTTCCCTCCAACATAATCACATTTTTGACACAGGTTGCTGTTGCAATCCAGCACAGCCAAGGACTACTGAGAAATTCTGTATTTGTGCATTTGGCTTTTCTTTCCCGAGAATAGCACCTTCAATGTGTGTTTGTTGAATTGACTTTTTTTGTCCATAGCCTATTTCTCCAACTTGCCAAGACCCCTCTGAATTTTAGCTCTATCATCTAAAGTGTTTGCTACACCCCTAACTCGTGTCATGTGCAAATCTGGTCAGCGTGCTCTTCATTCCTGCCCCCAGATCAGATGTCAAATAACACAGGAGTCAGAGGAACCCCACTTGAGACCCCATTCCAATCTGAGATTCCTTGATTAATAGTATTTGTTGGTGATTGCTTAGCTACTTATATATCCACTGAATGGTAGTTCAGTCACTCCCCAATTTATGCTGCTTACTATCAGAATGTCATGTGGGAATGTGCCAAAAGCATTGTTAAAGTTCAGGCACATTATGTCCAACCCATTCATTCCCTCAATGGCTACATCTACATTGGCACGATTTTGCGCAAATACTTTTAACGCAAGAGTTTTTGCATTAAAGTATTTGCGCAAGAGAGCGTCTACACTGGCATGTGCTTTTGCGCAACAGCATCCATGCCAGTGTAGATGCTCTCTTGCACAAGAAAGCGCCGATGGCCATTTTAGCCATCGGGCTTTCTTGTGCAAGAAATTCATGTTGCCTGTCTACACTGGCCTCTTGCGCAAGAGGGCCTATTCCTGAGTGGGAGCATCATAGTTTTTGCGCAAGAAGCACTGATTTCTTATATTAGAACGTCAGTGTTCTTGTGCAAGAACTCACGGCCAGTGTAGACAGTGTAAATCTTGCCAATGTAGACACAGCGTTAATGTTTTCACCAAAGCAATCATCACAATTGATTCTAACTGACAAACTTGGCAGAATCAGCAAATAAGGCAAGTCTAGAGGGAGCCATGGAGATAAAATTATCCTTTCATGCCTAGATGTGCTCTTCCAGTTCACAACTGGAGCATGCTTCTGAGTAAAAAGGCACTGCCCATTCAGTTGCCCTGGGTCTGAGGATGAAGAGAGGATTGGAGTCCCCACAAGCATTAAAACCTGTTCAGTTGTTAAAGCCACAGAAACTGAACTTCCAGCTGAAACAGACAGGGCCTGGTTTTATAATACTCAGCCAAGTGGGGAGTAGATAATAAAACACAAATATACAGAGTATCACAAGGAAGAGAGGACTCCAGTGTCTTCATTTAAGGAGACCTGAAGTAAAGGGAATAATGTTAGGAAGTTAATCACTTCAGGTTAAATATAAGAATAGTGCTACTGGGTGCAAGAGACAAGGTGGGTGACCGGATACCTTTTGTGGAGCAACTTCTGATGGTGACTGAGATAAGCCTTCCGGTTTGTGTAAGAGTGAAAGATCTCTCTCTCTCTCTCTCACACACACACACACACCAATAAAGTTGCTCCAATAAAAGATATCACCTCACTCAGCTTGTCTTTCTAACATCCTGGGCCCAATTGCCTGCAGAATCACTGCATTAAAGCAATCTAGGGGGAAGGACATTTGAAATAATCAAATGTAGAGTGTGGAATTGCATCATCTGGCAGGGATCCAGGCTGTCATAGGACACACCTACCACAGGGATGCTTGAGGAATCATATAGGCACAACATGGGGGAAAGTTCTAACCTTCCATAGTTCTGTTCATACCATCCCAGGACTACTGGCTTCCCACCACTAGAGACTGAAAGTGTCTGAGGCAGCGGCTGGTCCCATACAACAACTAAACTCTGGCACGTTCTTAACTGAAAACACTCAATGCAATAAAATAGCCTATGGACACGTTTCCCAGACAGGTCACTCTCCTGAGCAGGGAACCTTCACTTCTCCAGGACCAACCTGCGCAGGATGCTGATCACAATCAAAGTGAGGAGGGTCACACAGCAGGGGCTGCGCGGTAACACTTAGAGCTATTTGCAGTTCACAGTCTAAGAAACATTGCTCAGGAACCCTGGCGCTACTGACAGACCGATTCTCTACGCTGGCAAGACCTGCATTTCAGGGGACTGCCTCACCTGTGCTTGGCTGTCACAGAGGTTTCCCCTTCCAGACTCAAGCCCGGGGCCAGAATCCTCAGCAGGCAGGAGAATGTCGCTCAAACCCTTCTGGCTCGGTTGGCGGAGGGAGAACTCTTTCTGGCCCGACTCCGCGGCTAAGCGCACCTCGTAGGAATAGGGAAGCTGCAAGGTCCCGCTACTGTAGTTGTAGGAGAATTTGGGGCCGAGACTAGAATACAAATCCGCATTGTAAGATCCCAAAACAGGTGGAGTTCTAGGTCTCCAACATTTAAAAATTAAAACCGATATCACTGTGAACAAGAATAAAAATGAAATCAGAGCCAAAGTTACCACCAAAATAACAGTAAAACCGGACTGAGACTCCGAGTCAGCCGACTGGTCGCTCATTTCCGGAAGAGCCTCTTGGAAGTTCTCGGCGAACACCAGGCTCAGAGTCACGGTGGCGGAGAGAGGCGGCTGCCCGTTGTCCTTCACCAGGGCGACCAGCCGGTGCTTCACCGCATCTCTGTCCGCAAAGGCGCGCGCGGTCCGGATCTCCCCGCTGTGCAGCCCCAGCCGGAAGAGCGCCGGCTGCGTGGCCTGCAGCACATGGTAGGAGAGCCAGGCGTTGTGTCCCGAGTCCGCATCCACCGCCACCACCTTCGTCACCAGATAACCCGCCTCGGCAGAGCGAGGGACCATCTCGAACACGGCCGAGCCCTCGGGCCCGAGCGAGGGATACAGGATGCGAGGGGCGTTGTCGTTCCGATCCAGGATAAACACGCTGACGGTGACGTTGCTGCTGAGAGGCGGCGACCCGCCGTCTTGGGCCTTCACTTGCAGCTCGAACGCCCGGAACTGCTCGTAGTCGAAGGAGCGCTGCGCGTACAGCGCTCCGGTCTGGGAGTTGATGGACACGTAGGAGGAGACAGGCAGCTCCTGGATGCTGCTGCGCAGGATGGAGTAAGTGACCCGGGCGTTGCCGTCCAGATCCCGGTCTGAGGCTTTGACGCTCAAAATGGAGGCCCCCGAGGGGTTGTTCTCGGGCACGTAGGCGCTGTAGGAAGGTTTCTCGAAGACTGGGGCGTTGTCATTGACATCCGAGATCTGCAAGAGGATGGTTTTCTGGGTGGAGAGCGGGGGGGAGCCCTTGTCTGTGGCTGTGATGGTGATGTTGTACTCCGGGGCCCGCTCCCTGTCCAGGGTGCTGACCATCACCAGCTTGTAGTAGCTATCGGAAGCCGAGGTTATAGTGAACGGCAAACCATCCTGCAAATGGCAGGAGACCTTTCCATTATCTCCAGAATCTTGATCGTTGACACTGACCAGCGCGATCACTGTCCCGGGCACAGAGTCTTCGGGAACGGGGCTGGGCAGGGATGTCAGGGTCACCTCGGGAGCATTGTCGTTCTCATCTAGAACCCTTATCTCCACCTTGCAGTGTGTCACTAGTCCGCCTCCGTCCTTCGCTTCCACCACCAGGGTGTAGCCCCGGGACTCCTCGAAGTCCAACGGCTCCTTTACCGTCAGTTTCCCGGTGTCCGGGTCCAGACTGAATCTCTGACGCGCCTTCTCCGGAACGTTGCTGAAGACGTAGCTGATCTGAGCGTTGGAACCTTCGTCCTGGTCGGAGGCTTGGAGCTGGAGCAGCAAGGAGCCCGCCGGGGCACCTTCCCTCAGGCTCACTCTGTAGAGCTCCTGAGGGAAGAGGGGCGGGTTGTCGTTGATGTCGGTGACATTGATGCGTATCTGGGCGGTCCCGGTCCTCGGCGGCTCCCCCCCATCCGCAGCCGTGAGGGTCAAGTGGAGGCTGCGCTGGCTTTCCCGATCCAGGGCTTTCTGCAGCACCAGCTCCGCGTATTTGCTGCCGTCCTGGCTCTCTTTGGCCTCCAGGCGGAAGTACTGGTTGGGGCTCAGCTGGTAGCGCTGCAGAGAGTTCACCCCGACGTCAGGATCCTCCGCTTTTCCCAGGGCAAAGCGAGCCCCTGGCAAGCTGGACTCGCTGACCTGCAGAGCGATGGCGTCTTGCAGGAACCGCGGGGCATTGTCGTTAATGTCCTGCACGGCCACAGTCACGTGGAAAACGTTCAGGGGATTTTCGGCCACGATTTGTATAGTTCTAACGCAGGGCTGCGAAGCCCCGCAGATCTCCTCCCGGTCTATGCGGCCATTCACAGACAAGTCCCCGTTCTCCCCATTCACACTGAAGTGCTGCTGTTCCGAACTGACACGGAGCCTCCGCAGCGGCAGCTCCCTCAGCTCCAGCCCCAGATCCTGGGCGAGGTTCCCCACGAGGGAGCCTTTGGCCATTTCCTCGGGGATCGAGTAGCGAGTCCGCTCCGGGGCCGCGCGGCAGAGCAAAGGCCAGACCGCGGCGAGAAGCAGTACTTGCCGTGGGGCCGCCCGGCCCGGCGCCCTGGGCCCCCTCCCGAGCTC